ATGATTATGACATGTTTATTAGTTTGTCCTATTGATATAATGTATTATATTTATTTTCAGATTTTAAACCATCCATTTATTCCTGGGATAAATCCTGGTTGAATTTTAATTTCCTTGCCATTTTTGTACTACATATTTTTTATATATTTTCTTAGTTATTGCCTTGGGGGGTTTACATTAACATTTCTTAAAAATATGTTTTTATTGATTTGAGAGAGGAAGGGAGAGGGAGAGACAGAAACATCAATGAGTGAGAAACATCAATCGGCCACCTCCTGCATGCCCTCCCTCTGGGAAATGATCCTGCAACCCTCACATGTGCCCTGACTGGGAGTCAAACTGGGGATCTCTGGGTACATAGGTTGACTCTCAAACACTGAGACATTGGCCAGGCACCATTAACATTTTAATTCAATTTACTTCTGATTAATACCAACTGAATTTTAATAATATGCAAAACTTGGCTTCTATACAGCTCCTTTCTCCCCCTACTTTTATGCATTACAAAATAATTACATCTTTGTACATTTTGTGCCCATCAACCTAGATTTATAATTATTTATTCAATAAAGATTTAAGTCTGAAAGAAAAAGTAGTTACAAAAAAATAAACATTTACACTGTCTTTTATATTTACCTACATATTTATTTCTTCAGGTAGATTCGAGTTACTGTTTAGTGCTCTTTTGTTTCACCCTGGAAGACTCCCTTTAATATTTCTTATAGGGCAGGATTGCTAGCAACAAAATTTTCTGGGTTGTTTTTGTTTGGGAGTGTCTTTATTTTTTTTATTCATTTTTTAATTGATAGTTTACCTAGATATAGAATTCCCGGTTGACAGGTCCCCTCCGCCCCCCTTTCAGACCTTTGGAAATGTCATCCCATTGTATTTTTCCACCAAAGTTTCTAATAAGGCATCTGCTTACCTTATTGAGTATCCCTTTTATATATCACGTCTCCCTTGTTCTTTAAAAATTCTTCTTTGACTTTTTAAATGTATATATACTAGAGGCCCAGTGCACGAAATTCATGCACTCAGCGGGGAGGTCCCTCAGCCCGGCCTGCAATCTCTCATAGTCTGGGAGCCCTTGGGAGATGTCCTGATGAGAATCACTGATTGGCTGTCTCCTGCACACCTACACTAGGGATCGAGACCGCAACTTGGGCATATGGACTGACCGGAAATCGAATTGAACCATGACCTCCTGGTGAATAGGTTGGCGCTCAACCAGTGAGCCACGCCAGGTGGGCCTGTCTTTGACTTTTGACAGTTTATGATTTATGGGTCTCTAGTTTATTCAACATGGAGTTTGCTAACCTTCATGGATGTATAGATTGAGGGTTTCTAAAACAAATTTGGGGAGGTTTTCAGCCATCACATCTTCAACTGTACTGATTATTTTTATGAAGGAAATAGCTTTCAGAGGTCCTTAGTCCCCCATTCTCTCTAATGTTACCCCCAAATCACTTTTTAAACAAGAAGTTTACATGGTTGAGTTCAATCTAAACTTTTCCCCCTTTTAGCAGAAATTTTAGTTTTGTTTTCAGCCTCAGAGGGGTATGTGGAGTCTGCTAACAGAGAGGGAGTGAGAGAGAAACATCGACTGGTTGCCTTTGGAATGACCACAACCTGACTGGGAATTGAGCTGGAAACCTTTCAGTGCACAGGACAATGCTCAATGAACTGAACCACTCCAGCCAGGCTCATTCTCATCTTAACATGTCTAAAGTCTTTGCAAGCAGGTATGTTAATATCCAAAGCTTTTTTTTTTTTTAAGGGAAAATATATGGAATAGAATGTCTTACTTTCAGTATGTTCATAGTGCTAAAAATAGACACTGCCCCTAACTCTCTGGGCTCTACTATGCCCTAAAGAAATCTCCACTTATCAAATTAAGCAACAGAGAATCCAAATTAGAACTGTTTATGGAAACAGGAATTTGGAGGCTAGATTGAAAGATAACAAAGTCACATAAATTCATGCAGCAACAGATAACCAAAGCATATAAAGTTTATTTCAAATTCTGGTGTGCAGTTCATGGACCAATGCTGTATCTCTCTTCCTCTGGCCCTAAGAACCCAAAGGTGAGAAGAGCAATCTAGGAGACAGGCTTCAACTCTGGCCTGAGGGACCTGGGGCCAACGCAGCTGTGTGGTTCCCCATTTTCTTGTCTGTAAGGTGCTATCAGAGGCACTTTCCAGCTTTCAAGTTCTAATTCTGAGGGAGACTGGAAAAATACCAGAACGGTAAGTGTTGTGCCAGGATGGAGGGACTCCGTGTGTACATTTTGGATTTTTATTTCATATCTAAATTTGTTTAATGGTATCTTAGTAAGTAAACGTAAATTTGTAAGTTTTTTAAATGCAAGAATTCGAGACCAAAAAAATGTTGGATTAGATCTCTTCAGAAATGTTACTTTGGCACCATCTGCTGGGGAGCTTTTAAAATCTTCCCTGTACTAAATTTCTTATTACCTTCCCAAAATGATTTAAAGGACACATTGTCCATCATTTACACCTGACCTGAGCATCCCAGCAGCCTTTGTTCATAGGAATTTATGTGTACATTCAGAATCACTTAAGGGGCACAGAACTTGTCCTGGGTAACTTCATTCTAGCACGTGTACTAAGTTTTAGAATGTGTTTGGATTTTATGTGTGGCACCTGTTCAGCTGAGTCTCAGTGAAGTG